CAGGAAAGGCCTGCTGGTAGAGGAGGGGAGAGAGAAGGACACAGGTGAATATGATGCCAGGTCTCCCCTAATGTTTAATGCTGAAATACCTGACCCAGTGTGGTATTAAAAAGCAGTAGGAGAAGCAAATGAGGCTGTGCATTACCAAGTTCAGCCCAACAGGTTTTTCTGCCAGCAAAGGATTTCAGAGGAACTCGTTTTTCTGCTCAAATGAAACAACAGCTTGTGTTTGTTCTGAACGCTGCTTATTAAAAAAAAAAAAAAAAAAATCACGGAAGAAAATCATAGAGAAAAATCTGGTCAGAAGGGACCTCTGGAGGTCATTCAGTCCCTGCTCTACTCAGAGCCGAGAAAGACGGGACTGCAGCAGAGCTCGGAGAACAGAAGGACCACAGTGAGACAGGCACCAAGCCTGTGCCCCGCGCCTGGCAGCCTGCCCTCGCCACGGCTGCGGGGGCACAGCGTCTGCTCCTGCAGCCCCTCGCAGGGACAGAGGCCCTCTCCCTGCCTACCCCTTACAGCTGGAATCCGTGTGTCCTGCCTTTACGAAAATAAATGCTCTATCACTCTTCAAAAGTTCTCCCCAAAGTGACAGAGGAAAAGTTTAATAAAAGCACAAAGGTCACATTTTCTGTGCTTTCTAAAATAAAATGACAGATCTAATACCTGAATTATTAACTATCAGCATGAGGTTGTTTTATTTCCAAGTGCTTTTCTAACATACCTGGGGTATTTTTCTCACGTTGCATGAGCACATGGCTGTGGCCACTCCCAGCTGGCACAGACCGAGAGCAGAGCCCCAGGAGCTGCACAGGGAATTGCTGAAAACCAAAAAAGCCCAGAGTTATCAAAAATTTTTACCTTCTCCCCGGGGCGTGGGTGCTGGCAGCCGCTGCTCTGAATCTCTTGGGGCCTGGGGGTGGCCGTCGCCGTCCCTCCGGCTGCCCGCTGCTGCTGCTTTTGTCGAAAGCATCGCTGTTCTTGTTGCCCTGAAAGAGCAGCGAGAGCTCAGCAGTTGCCACCCGTGCCACAATCTTGGTGCATGAAGAGGGAGCGAGTGCGAGTGACAGCACACAACCGTCCTGCCCTCCGCCGACTGCGGCTGCCTGAAAACCCGGTGCATTTATTTGGCATTTTCTTTGGCTCTGTCTAGGGGGAAATCCAGCCTGCTCCCAGGCGCAGGGGGTGATGGCTGACGCTGCAGCGGCTCCCTCGCTGCTCTCGGATGCATTCAGTGCCGCTTGCGATTGCTTCAAAGCGCGCTCAGCCCCGCGCTGTGTGCTCTGCATTCCCCATATTCTCATTCCCAACTGTTTTGCCTTTGCAACTTCTTGCAACAGAACAGCCTTGCTCTGCAAGTGCTTTTTTTTTTTTTTCTCCTTTGATATTTTCTTGATGGGAAACAGATTCCTCGCTAAATCTATTAAAACCTGGCTTTCTTTTGTATCTATGGCAGCAATATTTCTATCGAGCAGTGTTCCTGTAGTCTCAACATTCTGACGTAGTATACACTGCTGTCAACAACAACACACCGTGTGCCTCAGTTCCTGGGCATGAAGCTACAAGTACCATGAGGAACGTTTCATTCTAATGGTGCAGAAATACCAAAAAAAATCAGTCCATGGAGAGCAAATCTTGCACAAGCCAAGCATTACAGCTTTGCTCAAGTTTCTTTTCGGTCATTGACTCTTTCTTGTTTGGACACGCATGTTGCCCGGTCCAAGCCCTGAAGCATGAAGCACGTCAGAAGACCCCTCAGCAGTGCAGGTCCCCCTGCAGTTACTTACACAAACTGCCACAGACTCTATCCCAGTTATTTCTGTGGGACAACCACCATCCCTGTTGCTACCCGCTAACTAGGATGTGTTTCCACATTCTTCCCACTTGGTTTATTTCTGCAAAATGGAACCTACCGTAGAATTATGCCTCCTAGCAACTGCTTATTACTTTCTGTTAATGCCCAGCCACACTCAATATCTGAGTCATTGCAGTCTTCATTTTCAGGAATAACCACACTCCATGCGCGTGCATGGCCAGTTCAGGGCTCTCTCACTTATACCCCCAGGACACAGCCATTAAATGTGCCATCATGTTCGCCACGTTGGTGTTTTTTTAAAAGCTTACTGAGCATACGCGACCTCCTAATTGAGTGGATTTCCATCAGCGCAGAAAACCCCAACCCCCTCTCACAGAGGACTATCTACCCGCCTGTTTTTCACCTTCTGCAGCAAGCCAGTTTAATATTAGTGATACTCAGAAGAAAGCTGTAGGAATTACTTCAATGGTGAACATGTATCTTCCTTTCCATCTCTTTAGTCTTAAAACCAACTCAAAAACCAAATGAAAATATGTCAATCTTTTTTTTTAAAGTGTTTTTGAACAGAGACAAGACCTAAACATTTAAACTTGAAAAAGGGAAAGCCATGAATGAAAACAAATGCATTTTACACTGAAGTGTGTGGGCAATCTGACCCATGGCTGTCACAGTACTGGGAATCAGCATCTCTGGGGGGGATACCCACTTGCGAGTGAAAAGTGTGTCTCTGGACCAAAGCCACCTGAAGTCAACAGCAGTCTGCCCTTTGACTTCACTGGATCTTGGAAAATGCTCTGGGTAGAGGACAAATAACTATGAATCCTAACATACCTCCTCTAAACGATAACAGTAAGATGAGATGACGTGAAATCTGGTTTTATGGAAATATTTTAAAATCTTTTAAGAACACATTTTAAAAAAAAAAACCTCTTTTGTAAACCCCATGGGAACTGATTCAGTAAAATTATGCCAAGTCATAAGCTTATAAAACCAACTGGAAAATTGCTGTTTTATATGCATATGTGTCTGTACTCACCTATGCATACAAATGCTGTGCACAGGCCTATAAAAATTGGTGCCTGTAAATTTTTTATGTATGTAGATTGTTCTTTGGGGTGATCCAGGATGATAAAATCCAGCAGATTTCTACATGACATTTGGGAACAGCTGTACCTTCCTTATGCCCCTACCTCCTGAGCCGATGCCTGGCGATTTAAAGGGCTCACTCCATTTAATGCGGCAGCTGCTCTTCTCCTGGGACCAGGCACAGTATTCCTGAATTGTCTCCGGTTGTATTGTTGTTGTCCAAACCCTCTTTTAAAACGGTAGGGTCCTACAAAAATAAACTCTTATTTTAGCATCCTTCAAAACTCAATTTATGATTAGTTTTGCAAATGGATTACAAGGTTAACTTAATATGATATAGGGGTATCTATATAAATAGGGATGCAAGATTCACATTAGTTTATTCCAGTAAATTAATTTTGCAGAATATTAGATAATTTCTCTTTCCAATGTCTCACTAACATACTTATTATATGTAGAACTGACAAACACATTATTTGATTTGAAAGACTATAGAAAAGAAAAGCCTTCCACCATCCTGATTCCTAATAAAGGCAGGAACACTCGCATCAGGAAACCCGTCAATCTGTTGTCAGAGCTCACATTGCTGTGAATTAACTGTGAAATGGAAAAAGCCTTTTGATACAGATGCGCAAGTGGCTTGAGCATCCAGAAGCCAACCCCACAGCAGCCTGGAATAGCTCTGAGTGCCCACATTATAGCACTTGATAAGTGAAGACTGGACCATTATTTTCATATATAAATACATATATATATATATTTTTAGCTTGACATTTCCTTATTTACTGCTTATATTGAAGGGGGCACCTTCTGCCGCTGTTTTACATAACTGCACCATATACACACACCAACAGCGCATCTTGCATTTAACGTTTTCCCCTAAGCCTGTTTATGATTTTGAAGTGTGCTGAAGTGTCAAGCGAGAGGAAAGCACTCCGTCAGATGGAGGCACAGTGCATTAAAGCCTAATTACTCCACATGATAAACTTCTGTAGTCATAATGAAGTAGACATTTTCCGAGCCGCTATACCAGTGAAATGTGCACACACACTCCGAGGGGCGGATAAATCAGGCATAAAGCATGGCAGAGGGCACCAAGAGTGCGGTTAAACCCCTGCACCACATAGTCGAACCTCACTGATACAGACCACAGAGCAGTTAGACGCGTGTATTGATCCTACACCATCTATTCCTACATCACAGCAATTTATAATGACTCGGAGCAATTAGAAATGAAGAGTTCTCCGGCAGCAGTGACATTGCTGTCAGGGGCCATCACCGCAGTGATTAATGAAGGCTGCAGCCCCAGGGTATAACACCGGCCAGCGCCAGCGTGGGCTGGTTACACTGGAATACAAGTGAAGATGATTTGAGCTGCGCTGGCTCTAAAACAAAAGGGCATCAGGGCCTGCCGGTGGGCAGCGCCTCCCAAACAGCACGGTGGGGTGCTTGGCTCCCTACAGCCAGAGGTGCTGGTTGGGAACACTCACAAAAATGCAATGCTGTTCACAAGCTCTGTGGGGCCAGTAGTTATTTTCTTTGCAAGCGATGCCCTCCCACCGCAGAAGTGCAGGTGTGTAAATGTTCCTCTCCTGACAAGCACCTGAATTTTGGCAATCTGTGTCTTTTTGACTGGATGTGTTCTCGCTGTGTTTAATGGCCCTTTTTTCCCTCCTGATTCTGTCCCCACAGTTTGTTTTTCCCTTTCTTGATCCCTTCAACAACCACCCGGGGCTTGCCCCTCTCTCTTGCCTGTTTGCCACCAAGCCTTGCCACACAGCTCGCCTGCGCCCTGGGGAGGGCACCGCCGCCGCAGCAAGACGGACTGAGCTCAGCCGCCTTCCCCGGGCACTGCACCGCTGCAATGGGAGGGACTGATGCAGAAGGCAGCTCTGACTAGAAAATCATGCCCCTATCAGCCAGCTCACATTAGAGACCCCCTGCTCAGCGGCGCACTCAGGCACGCCTCGGCCGGTGTAAACAACTAATGAGGGAGCCATCGGCCTCCGAGGGGTACCCCGTGTACACCAGCTGGGGGCCAAGGCCTCGGTCTGCCGCGTGTACCCTGAAGTGTGACATGTGGGAGGCTTCATCTCTGCAAAAAGTCTGGCAGATATTTACTAATGAAAGAACATTTGAATAAAACCCGCAGCATCAGCAGCTGGGGAAGACCCCCCCCACCCCTTGTTTGGGTGCATACTCAGAGCCTGGTGCTGAGCACACCTGGGCTGGCCAAGAGGCACCTCTGCCCAGCAAGTCCAGTTTGGGGAGAAGCTCCAATGTCTAACAGACTCTTTTTCTGAGAAGATTTGAAATTCAAATCTCTTGTCATTAAAAATCATCTTTTCCCCACTGGGGAGATGGTTTAAGCCATATTCCAGGAGGGATAACAGCACTTCGCTTGCATGAATTCTCTTGCTGGTTTAATCAGCATAATACCCTTCTCCATGCTCTGTCATTACAGTGCTGGGCTGTTCTGATTGTCATTTTGATAATGGTTATCACATCTCAGCCCAGAAGGGACTGCATTTCAGCAGGGACCGAAGTGAAATGAGCCCCCAAAGAATTACGGGCTAAATTCCCAGTCATGCTGAGCTTCCCAAAATTGCTACTGACATCAGCTCCACACAGCATGGTGAGTCCTGCACTTGGCAGGGCTGAATTCAGGCTTAGTAAAAACCTATGAAATACTAAGACTAGCAGAAATAATTCTATACATGAACAGAAAATGTCTCCTTTCTAAGAAATAGCTAAAAAATATATTTTCTTTGATTTACTTGATGTAGTAGTCTCTTGAGTGTGGAAGAATATCAAAGCCTGTGTTTCTGACAGAAAAATCAATTTGCAAAGGGCAATTATCATCATTCTGTTTTGAACCGGAACGATTCTTGGTAAGGCAATATGTGGTGGAGACCAAGAACATGAGAGTGGGAGGCAGACCGGAGACAAGCAGGATGGCTCCCAGCGATCCCACTGCCCTGATGTGCCATTAGCACTCCAAGGGAAGACTGCAAAGACATTGCTGCAAAATGTCACTAAAATCTTCAATGAAATGATTTAGCAGTAATTTAAAAAAAAAAAAAAAAAAGCAAAATTTTGATAAAGATAGCATTTCATGCAGCAGATCACTTCGGTTTTGTAGATAAAAGCTGGTGGAACCAAACATAGATTAGTCTGTGATCACACGGTATTATAAAAAACCTCATCATAAAAATAGCATGGTTGGCAAAAGTGACAAATTAGCTCCAATAACTGAGCTATCAAAGACAGTTACTGAAGGGGTAATTTAAGTGTGTTCTGGGAAAAAGAGGATTAGGAAGAGGCATAATTAAAATATGCAAAGCCAAAAGGGAATAGAGAATAGATATTAAGTCACTTTGAATTAGTAATTCATGAGAGGGTGGAAGGGAGAGAAATGGATGAATTTATGCTCTGAAAGGGCCCTGATATTCCGTTGTTGCAGTGAGAAAAGCTATTCAGAGCCCAAGTACATCTTACACGCACACAGGAGTTAGATGGGATAAGGATTTAAGAGCTGCATGTCGTTACACAAATGCATTTTCCAGCTTGGCAGGCCTCCCGCTGTCCCAGGGTGCTCACCTACCTTGCAAATTCCTCTGCATCCAGGTGCGGAAACGGGGCCGCCCATACCCGTATGCCGAATTCCTGTTCTTGACCTGCTGCCTTCGCCTGTCCCCCGCAGCACTGGCATCTGTTTGCTCCTTCCTGTGGCGTTTTATGATGTCATCTAGATCAAAATGGCAAAGGGGAAACCCATAAAGCCTGCACTTTCTACCAACAGTGATTCCCACTTTTGGTGCCTGCAATTGTCCGCAGTAAAAATGGAGCTTGCGGTTCTGTGAGCTACGCTGGCCAGACAATGAAGCTTAGCTCAGAAAGTATAGGATCGATTTACTCAGCTCCTGCGGGCTGGAGATTAGCGCAGCAAATTATTTAAGAATGTGCTACTATCCAGCACGTATCCACCACAGGCAGGACAGAGATTTCAGAGCCATGTCCCACCGAGGGATCCGATCCTGCAGATTTCCCACAGGCATAAGGGAATATGTTTTTGCAGGGGCACTGAGAGCTCAGTGCTGGCAGAGAACATTTTTTGAGAAGGTCTGACTTGTGAGGCTGTGGGAGAGGTGGTCAAAGGGGGGACAATGGGCAGAAGCACCCATGGGTGCACCCACGCTGTGACAGCCTCTTCGAGGGCTCCCCCTGCCATGTGCTGGACACAGGCACTGCCCTGTGCAGAGGACGGGTCCCTGATGTATAAGCACCACAAACACTGTTCAAGTGTCATGCAAACACAAGAGGGGTGAATGTCCCCCTAGCCCCTAAATTTGTAAACGGGAGAACTGAAGCTTGGTGCAGCGAAGGCTGCGATGTGAGGGCTGCGGGCAAGGGATCTCACTTGTACAGGGCAACTGTCAAGAAAAGGGGACATCATGGTCCTGCAAACACTCATGGTTCACCAGCTGGTTGTAGGATGGTTTGCTCTCAACTCCCATCTCCTGGAGTCAGCTACCTGCATGTCTGTCTTCAGTGCTTTAAAAAAACAAAGCAAGTTTCTAGCCCTCAGTTGTATGAGATGAAGCTTGAGGCCATAAACCTCTATGGCTCAAAAAACAGTGGGCAAATAGATGTAAAATGCACAATGAATATCAGCAATACTTTGTATTTTAAGTTCCACGATCCTTAGGACCTGACTCTTGATTTTCTGACTATCTGGGATAGACGCTCCTGCTTAATTACTCAATATAGCTAACCTAGAAACAGCTGGATAAGGATGTATCAGCAAGAACCTCTTAGCTTTTGCCATTGTCTGGTGAAGCAGAGAGGGAGAATATCCCAAATACAAGAGGACTATGCAGGGGATGCCTGCTCTCCCCTGCAAAACCTGGGTTCTCCCATATAGACCTGTCTACACCGCACCATGGGAACCAGCTCTCCGCTTCACGTTGAACACATCGATTCCATTTCCATGCTTGCCCCCCTGCCAGCAGCAGTAAGGTATTTTGGGAACCCCGCATGGCTCTCTGCAGCCAGGAGGAATGGCAACCAGCCAGCTCCCGCACGGCTACCATACGAGCACTGGGACCGGGCATGGCCGCCTCTCACCTCTGAGTCCCCATTGCCGCCCCACCACAAAAGAGTATAAACCAGCCTGAACACAGTAAAATGGACCCAGGATGTCCTGCCAATGTCCCAGGACTCCCCTCAGCCAAACTTCTTATCAGGCAGCTCTGAAGATGTGCCCTGCTGAGCTCTTCCATGAACTACAAGACGTTTCTTGCTTTCTTTGCAAGACACCATCCAAATGCAGTTCCCAAGGTGCAGAGCCTGTATGGAACAACCAGTTATTTTCCCTGTGGTTTAGACACTTTTGGTTTAAAACTATATTAGTAACACTGAGAAGACGACACAAAATTTCTTGTAAGGACATTTTGCCACTGTGCTTCACCAGTTTGGACCCAGCCAAGCATTCTGGGTGCTTCCCTAGGCACTGCTGCTGTAACCACCTGCACATCCCCTGAGCTGCACTGAAGTGCTCTGATTTACGAGAGAGCGAGCCCGAAGGACACAAAGGTGGGTGACGATCCACCTGCAGTATCCAGAGTGTACCTGACATGGTTTTCAAAGCTCATGCCCATCCTGAACAAGTGTTTTTAACTGTTTAAAAGACAGCACTGGAAGTTGAGATACCTGGACCATGCACAAACTACTTTTAGATGCAGAGCTCTATCAAGAAACTGCTCGAAGCCCCTCAGTTCTCAATGAGTTGATCTGAAATCAAGGGGATCTTCTTCAGTCAAGCTGTTCTGATGACAGGGAAAGGCAAAGGGACAGCTCCTCATTAATACATACTTTCCAACAATTTCTTCTTTTAACCTCAAACCTTCCAGAAAATATTTAGCAAGTAATAAAGCCACATCTGTTAAGCTCCAAGCAGAATGTTTTAACTTTACTTTAATAAATTAGCAAGGAAAGTAGTGTCTGTATCGGGCCTTTTCTGAGGCAGTGGCTACTCTGGCTCCTTAGTGAATGGGGTGGAAGCATAGAAGTGCCTTTCAGTGGGTGATTATCACAAACAGCACATCATATATACCTCCAGCACTTGTCGCTTGTCATTTTCTATCAAGAAACTCCTGTGTCCAAATTACTACAAAGCCCAGGGAAAACAAACAAGAGCAGATGTAAGAATAGGCTGCGTGACTGCTTTTGTGATTTCTCTATCAAGTCTGCCAGGAAGAGAGCACGCTGGGAGAGGCTGGGCGACGTTCTTGGTATGAATGCGCTAATGTTCTCAGCTAAGTGTGCCTTTGGGACATGTGCTATTTGGGGCACAGGCTGCTTTGAAGCATGTCAACAGCATCCCTGCTTGTTCTGCAGGGGGGTGGACACCGGCATCCACGGGTGGGCTGTCTACAGTGCGAGGAAGAGCTTGCTGGGAACGGAGAGGAGATGAATGCTCAGGTGGCTGGCCTGTCACCTTTCAGTGTCCCTTTGATTGGGTATGAGTCATTACCCTGTCTTTTGGGCCCCTAAATATGATGGGGTTAACAAAGCAATGTAATGGAGTACTACATAAGGTTGGAAGGGATCCTGAGAGGTCATTTAAGGTACCCCTATGCCTTCAGGACAGAATTAGATCAATCAGGGCGGCTTTAGAGTAACTCCTGCAGTTTCCAGTGACTGCTAACTCACGTAAGGCCCAACATGTCTGAACAAGCTCCTGACAGTAGAAGTATCAGTTCTTCACCAGGGCTCTTGTTTCCAGTTCTCTCTTCTGCCCTGAGTAGGGCGTATTCTGGATTGAACACGTAGGTGGACCACAGGAGGTCTGACCAAGGGAAGCATGAAGGGAGAGCAAAAGTAAAGGGAGTATTGCATGTCAACAAACAGGAAAAAGGTGTGCAACACCACAGGAAAACACTAAATGAAAAATGAGGGACACACTATTGCTGGAAATCCTCATAGCACCATTAAAAGAAGGGTGCATCAGCCAAGGGATCAGTTGAGTTTGTAGTGGAAAATGTTCTGCTATTCCTGACAAGTGGCTCATTGCTGGGAAGAAATGACACAAGGTTTTGGTTAGGAAGCTGGCCCAATAATAAGAGGTGCTGGTGGACTTTCCTTCCACAGCAGAGGTGTCAACACAATAATCCAGCAAGATCTATCGTCCAAGCATCGGAGCCCAGGCCTTCGGGGTTAGTAACAGGGCAGTTGTTTATGCACAGTTCACATGTCCAGTGCCAGAGGAATGGCGAGCATCACGAGCAGGCTGCTATAAATAGCCTGCACACCCGAGGATATGTCTCATATCTTTATTTCAATAGCGGGCTCATTTACGTAAGCCTCTCCCACCCCGCGGCGCTCGACGCTCGACCCTCTGAAGCGCCGGGCGCTGCCCGCGGGGCACAGAGGTGGCTTTGGAGCCGTGATCCCCGGTCC